CCCCCCCCCCCCTGCGGACGCCCATGGTAATATATATTTTTATTGACCATACCCAATACCCAAACTTGAGTAAAATGTTTGCTGTCCCATCCAGACCAACTCTCTGGACGACGACGGAATTCTGGTGGGTAACTGGTCCGGCGACTACTCTGGCGGCACTGCACCCACTGCCTGGGTGGGGAGCGTCGCCATCTTGGAGGAGTACTGGAAGACGAAGCAGCCTGTCAAGTTCGGCCAGTGTTGGGTGTTCTCCGGGGTCGTCACCACGCGTGAGTCCTTTCACATGGTTACGCGTGATTTGCACCGCAGCACATGGCTCTTATGGCATTGTCACGAGCCTACTGAAACTTTAACTTGGGTTGATATTTTTCTAGTCAATGTAAATGCATATATTGTAGAATGATAATTTGCACAAATATTGTTAAAGTGATGTTAATGCTGCACTGTGCAGATGTATTTTGTCTACTGTTCCGTGCAGAATCTTTATCCACATTACCGTTAATTGAAATATTTCAACCAAATATTCTTATAGTATCCCAGTTAACATTACTTTTAATATATGAAGATAGGGGAAGGCCTGTTATCTCCTAATGTGATCCGCGTACGGGATAGAATTTTCTATTAGTTCAAGGCGTATCAGGTTATGAAAAAAAAAAAAAGAGAGAGAGAGAAGCAAGATCTGCCAGCGATAGCAGTCCATGCAATAGCCGCACCTGTGCTGAAGTGCACAAAGCGTGGGAAGAGGGTATCCCAGCAATTTATAGTTGATTAAAAATGAGGAAACGCTGGTCATATTTTTTCTGACATATATGTTAAATCTACCTTGAACTTGGCTAGGGTCTATATTTTCATATCGTGGTTAGGAAAATGTCGGGAGTTTTATACTCATTTAGCCCTCTAGGCATGCAGCTGAGCATACTTTACTCACATGCTGAACAAGCTTCATACAGGACCGCCAGGAATTGGGTCACATTATATTCGTTATTACCCTTTCTAGCTCCGACATGCATCAAGATGGGAAAGAAAACTGGGAGGCGGACGAAATTGTGTGGATATAATCGCTCTGTTACCTAAGCTTTGATGTCACTGGCATTCACACATATATACATAAACACTAATATCTATATTTTAGAACCACGATTTCACATGACCTTACTTTCCTCATCGCACAGTGTATTATATTATTTCAGAAAATCCAGAATGGCATTAACATCCTCAGTGCGATTTATCTGTAGAGTCCACGTAGTGTATTGAGGAAGAAACATACTGTATAGCGTTATGCTCTTTGGGTTTATAGTGCATTTTACACACCTATTTAAACCTTGCAAGTGTGATTTAATGGCGAGAAATGGTGTTGCCGTACATTAATAAACCCTAGTTAAGGGATGTTTAACAATGAACCAGGCAAGCAAATTCTCCTTATACAAACATTAGTTATGAGTTATTTTTAAAGAAAATGTATACTTTGAGATTGCACTTTTTATTATTTCATCTAGTGTTGGTATCAGTCGAGTAGGCCTATATAATTTATTTCCTTGTTGGATCCCTTGCCTTGGATTGTTAAGTATAAGAAAAGTATATTTCAGTATGCAGGGCTCTGGGCATACCATGTCGCAGCGTCACCAACTTTGCATCCGCCCACGACGTGGACGCCTCTATCACAATCGATATGTATTGGACCTCAGACGGCAAGCCGATGGAGGACGCCAACTTCGACTCCATTTGGAACTTTCACGTTTGGAATGACGTGTGGATGGCTCGCCCCGATCTTCCCCCAGGGTATAGTGGCTGGCAGGCCATCGATGCCACACCCCAGGAGACCAGCGACGGTAGGGACCCTCTATGTTGTTTGTAAAGATGCCAGGTTCACGTATTAAGTCACACAGCAGGCTATACAATATATGCAGCTTGAAATGTTGGGTTAAACGTCCAGACTTATAGCCAGGTAGTGCACATCGTACTTTTAGGTTATTTTTAAAGTTAGACGTTTATTTCGTGTAAACAATGCATTTTTCTCTATCAGGTATCTATTGTTCTGGCCCTTGTTCGGTGAACGCTTTACGTGACGGCGTAATCACTCTGCCATATGACGGTCCTTTCATCTTTGCCGAAGTGAACGCAGACAAGGTTCATTATATTCAAAAGTCAAATGGAGAATTTAGGAGCGTCATTCAGAAAGACATGTAAGAAAATAGTATCCAAATATTCGTGTTTATTTTCCTAAAAAATAATTTCAAATATTTGATGAAATTTAGGCGAAAGAATAAGGCACGTTTATCTTTTTAAGGTGTGTTCCCAGCACACACGTCATGTTCGGATCACGTGGCTAGCACGTTGCTACCACTTTTTAACGTCATAGCGACGGATTAACCACGTGACGTGTTTGCTGGGTTTGAGGTACTTTATTGACTAACACATTCATGATCACACATTGAACAATTTGAGACGTTGTGTATCAACATTGTTTCTTTCACATGTCACAGTGTTGGCAAGCGTATTAGTACTCGGCTACCAGACGGTTTTGCAAGGCGTGCAGTGGTTGGAAGTATCATAGATGATCCCGACAGGCACGACATCACATCCCAGTATAAGCACACAGAAGGTAATGACGTCACATTTCAGTATTAGCACACAGGAGGTAATGATGTCACATAACAGTATAATCACATGCAAAGTAATGACGTCATGTTTTAGTATAAGCACATGCAAGGTAATGACGTCACGTCTCAGTATAAGCACATGGAAGGTAATGCCATCGCGTTTTAGCATACACACAGCAGTAAATCACGTGTTACATGTTAGTGCAACCACTTGAGAAAATTACGTCAAATGCAAGAAAATGATTGAATGTAGATCTAATGTTGTCACATTTCAGTTAAAAAAATAAGATTTCAAAAAAATATGGATAAAAAAGAACAGACGGGACTATATATATATATATATATATATATATATATATATATATATATATATATATATATATTGTCTTTTAATAAACGTCATAACATTTTACTTGCTGTAAAGGGAAAAATAAATTATTTTGATATTTACGATATATCTTTTTACTTTAAAATTCAGTATGATGGAATAAAAAAGAGATCCTTTTTCTATATTTGTGTTTATATCTGATCCCCCTCCCTTTCTGTCAGGTACTGCAGAGGAGAGGGCTGCACTGATGAAAGCCATCTCGACCTCCACAAGACAAGATATATACGATGACGTTGGCGACGTAAGTGGTATATCATTTTATATTTCAGCTCAGTTCGCCAATTTACAGCATGTCTATTTTATCACAGGAAAATGCTGAATGACGTCACAGGTTACTATTTTGTGGATTAACCAGCATTCTGCTCTTTTGAGACACTCGATATTTTTCACTTAAAGTGTCTGAACATCTTATCATTTGAGTTTTTCAAATTTGTCGCTGTTGCCTCCGCTTTGTCTTCAATGTTAATATGATATCAAAAACTCTGTCAGACACTAGCTTTCACCATACCTGCCTAACAGCTATTCTGATTATGTTATAAACTGCTTTAAATACATAAATTTAATCAATAGGACAGGGGGCTCAGTGTGTTGAATTGAAAATCTATCTTATGTGACAAAAAATGTGATTCCAGTCTGACTTTATTCTGTTTTTTTTATTATTATTATTATTATCATTATAAAAACCGTTTTGATATCCCCTTGTGTGCTAGCCGTGTCGGTTGTTTATTGTTCATTTCAAGATTACAGTGGTTCAACGTAATTTACTGCTTTGGTTTTGGCAACCTTGGAACATTTTTATATTACTCAAAACTTTGTGTTTGCATATTTTCAGGATGTGAAATTCAACTTTGTGGACAAAGATGACATATTCATTGGTTCAGACTTTGACGTCGAGGTCAAGGTGACAAACACAAGCGACGAGGAGAGGAATGTCACCATCACCCTGTCTGCCACGGTGTGCAGATATACAGGCGTACCAGTGGCGCAGCTGAAAAACGAACAGTTCCAAATAAAACTGGAACCTAAATCTGGTACGGTTGCTCATCATTTGGCATGCATTTTGAGTTTCTTCGCCCTGGTGTATGGCATTATTGCGTCGTATTTAACAAACAGACGAGAGAGAGAGAGAGAGAGAGAGAGAGAGAGAGTTTGATTTTGGTAAATGTTACCATGTTATCACACTATGTATAAGAGTGATTGTACCAGTTTTTTTCCAGGGCTATTTCTTTTGTCTCCATCTCATGATTTTCATTATTTTTATCACTCTATCCGGTTTCTATTTGAAAAAAATTAACTTTAATTATAACTATCTTATTCAGATATTCTTTTGATGCCGTCTTTCATAATTCGTCTTCTTACTTCTCTATCTATGTTCTTTACTAGGAGGTAGGCGAGTATAATTGCTTTATATATGTTGCTTTCAGGAGTGTATTGTGTCCAACTTTTGTGGGGTTTCGCGTGATGTTTTTTACCCGTTGTCTTTATATGCCGCTATTTCTTCTTTCACAAATGAATTTACAAAAGTGTGATGGCTTTGAGTGAAATAAGTCTTCAGTAGAAGAAATGTGTGATCTGATACGGTATCAGAAATACCAATGTAAACATAATTTCTGGTTCCGACAAATTTTTATCAGACCTATATGCTGTTGTTTCGAATATGAATTAGATTTTTAGAATAATATTTTTGATAATTAGAAACGGTAAATACAGGCACGTTGTTTGTTGCTTAATAATGGCCCAGTGCAGGTGCTGAATCACCTTGTGTTCCATCAACCTTACAATGATGTGATTTTGCCCTGTGTTTTTTTTGTTTTTTTTAATTTTAATTTTAAAATTGCTCTGAGGTACACTACCTGCTAAACCCGTTTCTTCAATTTCAATTAGACCGTTATGAAATCCGCTTACGGCAGTTATATCCGTTTGCTGCTCTTTTCTTTGTAAGCTTGCTTACTTTTGGAAAATCACTTTCTACATCTTATGGCTTTGCTCTTCACGGCGAAGCACTTTGGTTGTTACTTTTAAACAAACTTGTTTGTATTAGTGTTATATTTCAGTCAAACGAGCAATTACGCGCAAGTTAACAGTAGGCCTACATGTATTTCTTTCCTTTCTATAAATGTCACAGCATGGCTTTTTTCACTTTTGATTTGTTCATCAGTTTCAGGGGCCACTCTTTCATCATGTCTGTGCCGTGTCCAGGATACTGGGAACGGTCAGGCATGTTGAAAATAGGGGCAGATACATGTATCCTCTGTTAGTCAGGGTGCGTGCGTACTTTTACCACGTATTTTTGTTGTTCTTCCAAGCTTAAATCATGTTTCTAGTACTTTTACCACGTACTCTTGAGCTTCTTCCAAGCTTAATCCATGTTTCTAGTGCTTTTCACTTACATGAGATTTTTTACTTCCTTTCCCTTTTTAAACCGTTACGTAAAATGAATCTTGTAACTGTTATGTTCTCATGGTTTGATTTGTCATGTGTCTAAGAACAATTTAGTCCCCTTATTTTCTGTGACAGTACCATGCATTATTCAGTAGTGCCATTTATACAAGTTTGGGTTTTTTTCAATTTAGTTATGATACAAACAAAACCTGCATAAGAAAATGCCTAAGTTAAACTCTATAGAAGAAAAACCTTTTAGTTCTTGTTCCAATTCGCACGAGTAGTAACCTTATTTCCATAGCTGTCCATGAAGCATTTGGTGCATTATCGGTAATCGGCTTGTTTCATCGTAGTCACCAGTGCAGAATGTTCTTTAAGAAAAATAATGAACAAAAATCTCTTCAAGAAACACGCCACTCTGACGTTGCTTTGGTCTTCACACGCCTGCGGGTGTTTTGTTTCAATGTTCATTGTAGCATTAGGAATATATACTGTTAACTTTCTGTCTAGAACAAAGCGTGAAGATGGCGTGTACTGTAGACGAGTACCTTCCAAAACTGGTGGAGGGAGCATCCATGAAGATAGGTGGTATGGCCTGGGTGAAGGAGACTGGACAGGTCCATGCAGACCTCGACGACTTCCGTCTAAGAAGACCCGATCTCAAAGTAGAGGTACAAAATAACGATAATAGAATGTCTCCAAACCTCTCCAGTGAATAAGAAAAACGTCATCATCTTGAATTTTATTTACTTGTTTTGTGGGAGGCGATAGAACCGGCCTCTTCACACGATCCTGTTACAGAAAAATGGCCTAATTTAATTGTTGTTTCCCTCTTTATTTTCAGGCGAAATGCCTTGACGATTCTGGAATTTTCAGAGTCGGAGTACCATTCGATCTGGTGGTTTCTTTAACCAATCCTCTTAACAAACAGCTGACGAAGTGCGAGTGGTTTATTGAAGGACCTGGACTGCAGAAACCTAAGAGGATAAAACACGCGTCGTAAGTATGACCCTCACTTTATACTGTAATTCAAAAACTAGACTTTAATATTATTTTGAAAATAAGATTATCCTAGAACCTGTTTGAAATGCCAAAAAAAAAAAAAAAATCAAAAACGTATTAAAAAGAAAAAAATACTTTTTACGTCTCTATGGTCTACCCAAAATTAAATGGCAACATCTCTATCTGCCTCAATCTGCAATGCTGCCGTTATTAATGTCTCAGCAGTGGGCACATTTTACTTCAGTATTGTCCAGCGGTTTAGGTTTTCAAATGATTGCTTCTCTTTCCTTCCATAGGGATGTGGCAGCAAATGCCCTCGTTGACCTCACGTATCAGATGACCCCCCGCCGTACCGGCACTCGCCAAATAGCAGTCGGTTTCGACACCGTGGAGCTCCCTGACATCACCGGTAGCGCCATCATAGAGGTCAAACCTGCTGCTTAACAAGGAATTGCAATAAAAAAAACTAAGATTACTAAAAATATAAACAACTACATACTAAAAAAGAACTTTGAGATTTAGTGTAAAGGCTGTTTGCTTATGTTTTTTTCCAAAATGCCCTGCCAGCATGCTGTATAGGCTGTGTTCTTTCATGGTGTCACATGAAAAAAAGAAATAAAAAAGATTCAAACACATTAACAGGAGACAAATTCTGGTCCAGTTGCAGAAGTTCGACATTGTCACCATCTTGTGCTGGAGCCTTCACAAGTGCGAACAGAAAAATATTACGAAGATATTTTTGTTCCCTTAATTCCTTAGAAAATGCGTTTTCATGAATCGACGGTAGGGTCACAACAACGTTGTTCTAGCCATAATGGGCACTTTTAAATGAGCATGGAGGCCTTAAGAGGGGTGCCTTCCCTCTAGAATCTAATGGAACAGCATACGCAATAAATCAATGCAATACTTTTAACATATTAGTTAGAGAGCAATGTGATAGCGTAGTTATGCATATTATTGAAGAGCTGACCAAAAAGTTATTTTTGGAAACTAAACTGGCTTTCATCAGCCTTAGGTGCGAGTCCCGTTCCATGTAATCCTTGTTTTAATG